ATTCTGTTATTTTACTCTATCCAAAATTTGTCTTCTCAGTATATGTTAGATCGTTCCCCATGTATGGTTGAGATTGAGAACGCGATTTGTCCAGTCGAAGATTGTAAGATCGCTGTGAAATACAAACATCATATATACATACATACCTTCTCTATACATACATATATATATATTTATATTTATATTTATATTTGTATTTATATTTATATTTGTATCTATATTTATATTTATATTTATATATACATATATAAAAGCGAGACCCCTCCCCTGCGACTCATCTTTCGGTTTGTCGCCGATGACGTCATCAGCATGTTGTTCAGCTCAAGATTTTCCAAATATTAAGAGAAAAACCTATTTTTTAAGCATAATAACACATGGCTATGGGTTTTTGCGAGCGATACAACCATTAAAGACTATAAAAGTTTTATGCATTTGTGTAAGTTGCTAAACGAAGTCAAAAAGGCAAAGAACTCCTTGAGTATCTGTTTTTTGCTACTAATATTTATTTCGAGCAAGAAAGCTGTTAAGCATATTTGTGCAAGTTTTCTTGACCTGGATCTCATTTATCTTCGTAAGACTCCACATATCTTTCACATATAAAGTGTACATTTGCTGTCACCAGACGCCAGAATTGATTACTTTGAAGAAAGAAGATAGTGAAACACTACGGCATTTTATGGCCTTTTCAGAAGGTGCTATCTTTAACACCATGAACTGCACTTCTTTTCATCGCAGAAAGAGGTGCTTTTTTACAGAATGCTGACAACATAATCTCTGTTATGTTCAAGTCTTAGATATTTCCAGATACCTTAATTTTCCCTTCCTTCAATTAGCTCCTTCGTACAAAGCGTCATGAGCTAAATCGATCCACGAACTCTAATTCAGTTATTCTCATTTTTAGAGAAAGATCCTTGAAGAAGTATACTTTGGATTGCGGCTATATTTGCTATGTTTATGCTCTTTTTCAACTAACAACTCCTTCAGGCTTTCAAATTGAGATAGGCTCCCGAAACCAATTTCCTCAATTTTCACGGAGCGGGGCGAAGCTGTGCTCGCTCCGTGAAAGTTGAAATGGTTCTTGCGCTTTGGTTAGAGTACTTTTGGAGGGAACATACACCCAACTCTTCCTAAGGCTAGATCATAATAAAGCGCTAAGTTTGTCTGTATGTGTATGTGTGTTTCTCTGTCTGTCCGAAATCAGT